TAACCTTACAGAGTTTTTTTTTACAGTGTAGGCCTATCTTACTACGTTCAACGGTAGTCTTATGTGCCTGTTAGTATTCGCCGATGAGGTTTAATTACGGAACAATTCGATTACTTATTTCTATACAGCTTCGGCTAAGCTTTAGTTAGTCAGAATTAGGTTGTTTCTTATTTTCTATCTTAAGTTAAAGCCCAAGTGAAGGCTTTCCTGTAAGCCCGAGCCAACTGTATTATTATTTGAGTGAAATGAAAGGGTATTTTAATCCTTCTTTGGACTTTGTTTTTAAAGCTGTAAGAAAAACAGCAAATAGTCGCTACACTCTTCTCCAAGGTTCTAGTTGCCAAGGGCATATAATTTAACTATAACTTTATAGTTTAGTTTCATAATTTCTATCGCAATTTTATCGATTTCATTTTATATCACCATTTTTACCTAATAGCTTTTGATATGAAGGCATTCCAGCATTGAAACAGCAATTTATATATAAAACTGTCACATTAGAAGTGTATAAAAACATGATTCGGAATGGATTTTAACTTGCTATGTATGGATACATCTCAAACGAAATTATGGGCTTCTTTTACATCTTGCCAAGAAAGCAAATCTAATCCTTGAAGAAGAGAGCACAAATTTCGTTAATTGCTCAAATGCGTATTTTCTCCCTCTCTTATTTTTTTAAATAAAAAAATCCTGAATAAAATATGTGAACAAGCAGGCATTCATGAGACATGTGGTCAAATTTTAAAAATAAAAGATACTAATGCCACAGATAATGAAGAAAGGAACTATAAGTATAACTTAACAAGAATGAAAACAGAAATTTATCACAATTTATACTTAATAAAGTATTTCTAGTCAAATAACGGTTTTAAGTATCTAAAAACAGTACATTCTTTCTTATGATGATAAATAAATAAATAAATAAACAAATATTAAAAAATGAAATAAAGTTCCGATTAAATTTATTTCTGTAGTCATTTATTTGCAAAATAGAATTCCTTTTTCTTTTGCCCTTATTAACAAATGTAATTAACACTAACACGTAAAAATTTTATAAAAACAAAATTGATATTAAGAAGAAGAAAAAGCCACTTAGCATTATACAGACATGCATATTTAGCTAGTTAGGAAAATACAAACGCGATTTATATTGAACAGCACTAAACACTGAGTGATTTTCGTCGCTTCAAGACCAAAGACAAACATTTTTGCCGTATATCCACTACATTAATTTAAGAAAGGATTTTCATAGCACGTCCTTGCAATTCGTCACAGTACGCCTGCGTACGTTAAATTCAAAAGCAAAGATTACTAATACACTAATTATTTATGGAATTAAATAATAATTGAACATAAATTTACAAATCTAAAAAAATAATAAGTATCAGGTTAGAAATTATCACATCCCCCTATGCCTGCTATTGCAATATAAATAGTTCGTACATTCAGGTGCAAAGCCAGAAGATCCGTGGTTCGCGAAGGCGCTATTTCCTCAGTTTCTACTCCGAAAATACCTAATAGATTCTGTCTCATATAATAAGCACTTGCTCATAAATATCTGTAATGTGTCTGCTGAAGACAACGGTTAAATTAGAAATGATATTGTTTAGACAACGGTTAAATTAGAAATAATATTGTTTAGACAACGGTTAAATTAAGCATAATATTTTCTAGGCAACGGTTAAATTAGAAATAATATTCTTAGAGAAATACTCAACGATTAACGCATCTTTATTTTTTTCGTAACCTGTTATTTTTAATGGTAATGGTAATTTTTAATGGTATCATGATATTTAACTAGAAAATGGAACCTTTCGAAATGTTTCCTTGAAAGCGAGCTACGTACAATACGATTCTGTTCTGCTTCCGAAGAGACAGGGCTAATATACAGCTATTTCAAATGAGGCACAGATGAAACCACATTAAAAAAATGCATTCTTAATTAAAGATGTAAAAAAAAATCTAACTATAACTTATTCCAAAGCCACTTAGATAGTAGTTAATTTATACTTGAGGCGATATTGTACGACGGAAGAGGCGAAGAAGTCAATAGCAGCCACTTAAAGAATTCAGATAATTAAGATGCTCAAAATCCGCAGCTAAGTATGCGTATTGTTTTTAAAAAGCAGTAAAACAATTCTTGAATGGAAAGAAACGGTTAGAATAAATTAACAAGGATTCCCCAATTTTAAATTAATATGATTATTCATAAGCATAAATAAATAATTCTAGTTATTTTGTTTTCAAGAAAGCATGTTCCTTGGATGTACAAATGTTAAAATTTTGTATGATTATTTGAATATTCTATCTCTCTTTTAAATTTCTCAGTAAGTTATTTGATTATATGTTGATGATAAATAATTCTAGTTAATTTGTTTTTAGAAACACATGATCTGCCGCCCAGACAGTATAGTGGTTGGGGGAGCTACTGCGCTACCGAAGGGCCCATATTCGAATCCCGAAGAAGGCATGGATGTTTGTAAATGTAGAGTGTCTTTGCAGCACGGGAGCATTCTAAATATATGTCGAGCCGAAAGCTCTCTCGTGTGGATTGGTTTATCTCCATGGGATTGGTTGTAGGGGAGAGGGGTGGCAGAACCTCGGACCACCCTCCGAAGTGCTCTTCCTCAGAAATGGAACGAAAATAGAAGTCCAACCTCCTTGAGGCTCGGGCAACCATTCTTCCATGAAATTCAAAGACAACAAAAGCATGATCATACGATGTACAATTTAAACTTTTGTACGACGAATTTGAACATTCTTTCCCTTCTTTCCAAAAAAAAAAAAAAAAAAAAATCCTAATTTCCCCTTTTTTCTCAATAGATATTTGTTAATTTTTTTTTAAAAAAAAGGAAGTAACTGTCCTTTTAATATCGTAAAAAAATTTTGAATCGAGAAAAGACGTACGTAGGCATCCCAGAAGTAGAATTAGCGATTTTTTTACTCTCTTAACCCAAACCCATTCCTTCAGAAAGGGGGAAGAAAATGAGGGAAAACAGCTCGCGCTAAATAAATAAATAAAAATAATAAAAGCTGCATTTAATTAATGTTAACAACTTACCAGGGCTTTTGCATAAAAATAATAGTTAAAAAAAAAAAAAAAAAAAAAAAAAAAAAAAAAAAAAAAAAAAAACTAGCGTGAGGGCAACATACGAAAATCACATCCAGTTTAAAAATATTTATAAGGTATTTTCTCCCTCCTTTCTGCATGCCTACGTGGTGTAATGGCAGCATACTCGGCGCGTCCCGGCGAGTGCATTGTTCATTTTTCATGTCTCTTACTTCCTAATGACTAAAAATCCTAATGACTCAACAGTGGCGTCCGAACTGAAAAGGTGGTGGATGATGATTCTTCACCACCAGAATTTGGCGATTTGATCCCTAAACCCCAGCCGCTTCTTAAAAGGAGGGATATATAAGGTACCAGAAGTGGGCGCAGTCCGACATTTTCTCCATCCTTTCTGTATGCCATCGTGGTGTAACGGTAGCACACTCTGCATATTCGAGAGGTCCAGGTTCGAGTTCTGGCGAGGGCATTGTTCATCTTTCACGTCTCCTATTTCAAAAATCCTAATGACTCTACACATTTAACTATTATTAAAGTTAATTAATTAATTAACATTAATAATAGTTAATTTAACTATAATTAATGTTAACAAACACATTTAACTATTTATTAATTATTCTTCAGATGCAACTTAAAGTTAGACCTCTCCCCCTCCAGTGCAATTCATAGCTATATTTATTCTTAATTCCATGCAGATGCCGCTCTGATCGATATAGTTGTTAGCGTTCCTGGTTGCCCTATTGTGATGCCCCGGCTCAAATCTCAGAGAATGGCTAGATGTTTTTAAATGTCTTTGCGGCATGGGAAAACTAAAAATACTCGGCAAGCCGAAAACCCTCTCGAAAGTGAATACAGAAAAAAGAGTTGGAGACTCTTGCACCCGTCCTCACAAGGAATTTTCTTTTAAAATTGGAGCGAAACTGGACAAAGTCATTCTGACAAAATGAGGAACTCCTCGCCACAATAAAATTCCCGGACTTATTTTAATGTTTTTGCCAGACAAGTTAGATAAGTCACAACAGATTTGATAAACTTCATTAACGCAGCATACTGCTAATATGTTTGAATTTCCACACCTTTATTACCTGTTTTATAATTAGCATGGAAGTAAATCGCTGGAATGGAATAATTACTTATTAGTTGTTTTACTAAGCGCATGGTGCGCAATTTGAAATTCTTAGAAATTACTTTGGGCATTATGCTAATTAAAAAAAATTACCAGTTTTTAAAACAGTGTGCTGTAATATGATTTCATTTTCTAATTGTAATTATACTTAAAAAATAAAGCTATTGCTTACTGCAGTCTGAGCCGCATTTAATAGGGGAAAGAGCTGTAAACTCGTCGTGCCTGCTGCATGATCTTAAAATTACATTAATTGGGGAATCAAATAAACTGAAATTTTTCGTTTTATGTTCCTGAATTTGACATAACTTATTACATAGAAAATTAGCAGGCAAACTGTAATTACGTAATTAAAAACAGATTTTAAGATCTAAAAATAAAGTTTAACAAAAAATATTAACTGCTTTCGAAAAACAAATACACCATACACCAAAGTTTATTTGAAATCTTTATATAATAGATGCCATAATGTTAATGACAAATTTCATACATTAGTTTCTTATAATTTAATAATAAAAATACATACCGATATGTTTTCTTGATTCAGCAGTTGCCTTTTATTTACTTATTAATTAAATACTACACACTTAACAAAAAAATTACATTGCGGTGCAATAAGAAATGCTAATTCTTAATTTTCATTTAGATACAAAATATATTTAGAAATTATTTCAGTATTTTGGCCTGCATAATTACACATAGTTTGCTTTTTAATGCTGCTATTAAAAAGCAAATTAATTTGTTTACAAAAGAGAAAATGAACAATAGAAATACATATTTAATTAAACACGAGAAGAAAAAAGGACACACCTGACGTATTTTGCAACAGCTGGAACATCAGGGTGTGTAGTTGCTACTGATCCATGAACATATGCTGAATCTTGCTTTTTCCATACTCTTAAATTAACAAAATCCCTAGAAACATTTGAAAACAAATATCATGATCGATCTGAGAAAAAAAAATAGCTTAAATGCAGCTTTACATATTTTTAAACTAATAAAGAATATTGTTTATATTCTACATGGGAAGGTAACAACATACCTGCTAGCCACGAGGCCCGCAGCTCCCTCTGTAGCTATTACATGAGCGATATCCATATGATCGTCAATTTTTTGAATAACCTGAAATAATGAAAGAAAAAAAATTAAATCTTAATTTAAAAAATTAAACAGAATTATCTGAAACTTATCATTTTAATAAGTTAAAAAATTTTACAAACACACAGGGTGACGCACAAATATCATAACGTTTGCTTTGTTTATTACACATTTATTTATCATCGAAATATTACACAATAAATATATCGTTAGCTATCTGAGTATGGAAAGTGAGTTTAGTTCAGAATGCATTCAGTGTGTCAACAATTTTATTTCACAATTTCACTAAGCAAGCGGTTAGGTTATTTGAAAAAGCCAACGCTACGAGAGCACCTGCCTAAGAGGAGCGATGCCTTCGTGCAGAACGCTCTAGGGAAACTGGATCTCGCCTCACACATGTTGAAAACCACGAAAACCAACCATGAAGCCAATCCCTTCACCTAGATTTGAACCCAAGCCTAGTCTAACTACTAGCATTCAGCGATCTCAACCACTCGGTCACTGGTGCGCCACTAAGCGAGCTAACCTTTGCATTTGTCACAACTCTCCAGTATACATCTTCCGAAGTTGCATAGCGTAACTGCATGGTAGGTTCCTTAAGTTGCGATATATTTGCTGACTTCCTGGCAAGTATTTTGTCTTTAAAAAAATCCAAGAAAATAAATCACATGGATTCAGGCTATGCTGAGGCCATTGTCTCCTACCTTCATGACGTTCAGGAAACCAATGTGACATTACAAGCGCATTAAACATCTCGTACAGGAAATCAAGAACATTTGCAGTATGTAGGTACGCTTCGTCTTGCATGAACCACTGAGTGCAAACCTGAAAATGAAAACAGGTCTCTGTTTCTATTTTCAGGTTTGCGGACACTTGATGGGCGCCGTCTAACACAGAGCCAAATGATTACACTGTTTGTGAAAGGTCTGACTGCAAGCAGACCCTCCTGTACCAAAGTGTGCACGAAAACATATTTATGTTTTCAGGGCTTTTTAGTTTCTTTAAAAACATTACAACTTTCACCTTCCGTTCAACAGTCAACGGGACGTTATCTGCTATCTAACAAAATCTGCAGCAAATTAGAGTGCGATACTGACTTCTGCTAACATCTGTGGAATTTTCTATGAAAACATCAGAATATGAGTTTTTAACATTCAGTATATAATATTAAAAATTTTATGGAGTGATTAAATGGTATGACCTTTCGTGCGCCACCCTGCACTTCATTTAGATAAAATTCAGATTTAAAACTCGAACTGAATTAGATGTCTAAAAAAACATTCTTATGCTCCTTACCCTAACTTTCTTTACAGTAGGATTCCATTTATGCATTTCTTCCCCTTTGAAATAAAGTTCATCAATGACTTTCTTCGGAGGAATTGGAAGAAATCCCTGATGGAAGTGAAAAAAGATATAAAAGTGAAACAGGGCTTTTATACATTTTTTTGTGAACATTTATTTGATCTTCATATAAATAATGCAGCTTTTTCAGAGTGAGTTTTAAAATAATGGAAAAACAAAATATTAGAGTTAATATAAAATACATTTATCACTATCATTTACAGTCACATCAGTTTTAAAGTTTCAGAACATCGGCGAGGGAAGTTTTTTGTTTCAGTCTGTAGCAGAAATAAAGTGCAATATATTCTACACTGGAAAAACTTTCCATTAAGGTAGTTTTTGAAGGCTTTTAGGATAGAGAAAGAAAAGACAATAATCCAAAAGTAAAGCTTTTACCGAAACGGAAGAGGAATCTGAGGCAGTGAAGTATGTGTCGGACTTAAAACTTGGGTCTGTGACTTGGTACTTGTGACTTGGGTATCTGTGAACTTCGGTACATCTGTGACCCACTCCTTTATAGTAGTTAGATGCCAGTACTAAATTGCGAGTACCGTATTACGCGCCTTCTGGAATTTTAAATATATATAGTAATGGGATTGTACCACTTGTATCAAGAGAGACAAAGCGCTTGTCCATGCATGTAAGAACCGTGTCCCCTATTAGGTACTCCAGTGTCATCTTCATCACTAATAATTGTACCACAGCTATGATGATTACAAGCCATTAGGATTGCAACACGCAGCGCAAGCGGTCGATCATGCCTGAGCTTTGCATCATAGCAATATCATTTGCCATATACTTAAGCATGCCATCTACTAGGAACGTGCCTTATCGCAAAGTACTAGTAGAAACAACGCGCCATTGGGATAACTCCTAACTATGGGTATGAATCAAACAGTATTTTTAGCTATTTTCAAAAAGTCCAGCTGATAACTGACAAACAACAGTTAGGGGTAGATCGACAGTCAGAGCAGAATTGTATATCTAAATTCAAAAGATTTTGCATGGCCGTTAAACAGCGCACAGCAATACGAAATGTTACTAAGTTATATAAATATACATATATTACACGTGGTTATACAAATATTGAATCTTGTCTAGTGTTTTCCTGTTACAAATCGTATTCGATGCCCATTTCGGATAGTGACAAGGCGCTAGCTTTCTTAAGCGCTAAGCTTTTCTTTTAGTGCATTCAAAGAAGTAGTGATGTTGAGAAGGCATTTCCTTCTCAACAGCATTCATATATTTCTACGTTTTTCAGTTCAAACCTGTACAAGTATGTTCGAAAAGATCCATGACCAGTGAGAAATTACGCTGTACTGGTATTTGGGTACTTCAGTAACATCGACTTTTGGAAACATATCAATACATCCTATGTCCGACTTGAGGTGTAGACCAAAGTTTCTGCCACAATTTGATTAGTTTCTTAAATGTAAAATACTTTATGCGTGATAATCGAAGCTGTATAGATTGTATTTTTTTGCGATGTACCTTGCTAGTGTGTCTGCCACTTCATTGCCGAATATACCTATGCGTGCCCCGACCCATTGAAGATGTGATCTGCTACCTAATGTTGTATCGATAAACTTTTGAATCTGGTGTCCTAATGAGTTGCGGCTGTGCCCATAATGGCCACTAAAATGGAGGACGAATCGCTGAATATAACAGTGCGTATCTGTAAGAAATGTTTAGCATATTTTAATGCTTCTCAAACTGTTATTAGCTACGCTTGGAAAACGGAGTTCTCTGAAGGCAGCCTTCTTTTCCATACGTAAGTGACTTATTTGCATATATGGTAGAAGCTACTACTTGTCGCTAGTTCAGTCTTTGAGACATCTGCATAAATTTCGATTTCGCCTTTTTGGCTTATCAGTTATTTGAATATCGTTAATTAAGTTGAAGGTGGTTAAATGGTAGAATTTATTAGATTTAACTGATTCATAAACTGATTTATGAATAGTATTGCCTAACAGATTAGTTGATTGTTTCAATTTTGTAGCTTTCACAAATGTAGCTTTTCTTTCTATTATGAGATTTTGAGGCGGAATTCCTGCAATCCTTTGGAGCACCATTGTCGGCGTTGTGCGATAGGCATGTCAAATCAATAAAAGTTGCATTCTTCGAATAGATAAAAGGTTTTTTCCCACATTTCCTGAAGTGCGGAAAGAGGGCACTCACAATAGACGGCGAACTGAAAGGTCCTCTCGACAGGATGCGGTAGGGAAAGAGGGGCAGACCTTCGGACCGCCCTCCAGGTGTTCTCCCTCAAAACTGGAGTGGAACTGCACATTTAGCAAGGAGGGACTATACCTGTACGACCAATTGTGAAATTCTGGTATCCCACTTGCTTATACCTCTACCTGACATTTTAGTTCCTCAGATTGCCCAGCCATTAACTATTGTTCTCCCCGCGACTGTGGGGTACTAGCATTTAAGGAGATGTGAAGATATTTCCCATCTGAAGGATGCTCGTTTCAGTGTATTTGGGAAATAACGTATGCGGGACTTAAGGCTCTTGACGTCAGGTTTACGTCAAAGGCAATTTTTTAGGATTTAAGATATTTAAGCTATTGGACACAAGTTACTGAGTTACGAAGAGCTTTATTAAGGCGCACATCACGCGCCGGTGTCCGATATCTTGGATTTAGTAGTTACGTGTTTAGAGATGATTAGTGTTAGTGAAGTAGAGGTGCAGGCTTGGATGGATGTAGACAATTATTCTGTTCCCGTAACACTCAAGATAACGACGAAATAATGGGACATGGACTGCGGATGGAAAAAACGATGAACAGAAGGGGGAGGATGAAGAGTTGAAGACACCCGGAAGAATAATAAAATATGTGGAGCGAAGCTGACGAAGGATTGTTAAGTAATTAAGGTTTGCAACTAACTTTAATACAAGATTAACAAGGCATTGCTCATCTATGTCAGTAAATTGTAGAGTCATTAGATTTTGTCGACGCAGAAGACGTGAAAAACGTGCAATGCCTTCATCGGGACTTAAATTTCGGACATTCCGATTGCTAGCTGGATATGCTTTCCAATTATACCACGAAGGCATGCGATACGGAGGAAGAGAAACCTTACAAAATGACCTTATGTATCCCCATTGCATACACAAGAAAATTTTGAAACGCCGGAGACAATCTTGTTAGCAGGCATACATTTAAAATTATACGTCATTACATTGAGAAGTTGATAACTTACATGTGAACGACATGGATATATGGTAGTTTTAAGATGCTGTTTATTTATTATTTTTTTTTTTTTTTTTGAAATATAAAATCCTTTGTATGTGCTTTAAATAATTTGTGCTATTTTCGATGGTATTTATTTAATAGTAACCGATAAATTGAAAAATATGACCAAAACTATTGCATGTTGCAGTTTCTACAGATGTCACTACAAAATATGAACAAATAATTTGTGCAAATATGTTTTCGATTATTTGGAAAAGCAGCGTATCCGGATTGGGTAAGGTCCCGTTTCTATCGTTAAGAGAAATTCTAATGCATTGCATGCGCATCGGCTTCCCAGTTCTTGGGTTGTGACTGGTTGCGAAATGCCACTCTTTTCACATATTGTTTAGTTTACATGCTTAATGTACCCTTAACGTTTCTTGGCGATTGTTATTACGAAATCTGATAGCTTTTCTTGTTATTAAAATTTTTCCTGAACCTTTAATGAGTTAAATACGAAATGTCTCACACCTTTACGGAGGAAAAACGAATTAATGATATCAAGATAGAAGGAGGATAATTTGTTATTAAAAATAATGGACTTGTTTTATTTAGAAGAAAGTGGAAATGTATTGCATCAATGCCATTCTTCCCATTTTTTACTTGTTTGTCCCCACAAAGAGATTTTCTGAATTTCTTCGCTTTCCTTTTTTACATGTCTATTAGTTAATTTTTCCACCCTTTTTTACATGTCTATTAGTTAATTTTTCCAATCTTTTTCACATACTTTAAGGTAAAAATTCTCTCTCTTTACTAGATCACTTTAATTTCTGAAGGTTCACCAGTGAGTAAATGGTTACAGCTGCAAAACACTGGCACTTCGTCAGAGCTTCCATTCGAAACGATTGATAGGTCTGACAGCATAAGGTTTCCGCGGTTTTTTTCCGTCTAACGTAAACACTTAACCAGTTTTCCTTTGTAGGTCCTTCTCGAAGATATAACTTTTCATAGCCGGATAGCCTAGGGATGCTTTACCATAATCAAAGAATACAATCCGATCTCAATTTTTGGCTTTGTGGGTAACTAAACTATTGCGTTATATGTTTGACCGGAATTTTGTCTTACGTAAATACTTACGAGTTTCGTATATATATATTTTTTTAAATGTCCGAGCGCTTTACTTAATAGCCATTAGCCTTGCGCCATTACAAGGGCCAGAAGTGACAGCCATGTAATCATAGAAGCACCTAATAGGTTGCCTCCTATGAAGGGACGAGCAGTTACATTAATGTTTCCTCCGGGATTCGAACCCGGACACATCGCTACGGCAGTCAAGGTCACTAACTATGATACCAGCTGGGCGGCGAGTTTCGTAAGTATAAGTAGGGTGGGCCAAATAAGATCTACCGATGTTAACCACAAATAACTTTTTTTTGATATAATTATTTTTTTCTTTTTGTAGGTTATAATTGAATTCTTGGAAATTTATTATGGAACCATACAGTACAAAACTATGCATTAAAATGATCGAGTTTCTCTATTCTTGTCAACGATCAATTGTTACGACGCAGCGTAAAATATCGACAATATTTTAATTCATTTGTACTGTTTGGTGCGGTGTTATAGCCAATAGAGTTATCGGCTCATATTTCTTCGAGAATGTGAATGGAACGTCGGAAACAATTTCCGGATCTTCTAACAGAACAATGATTGAAAACCTTTTGCGGCCAATGGCGGAGCAGAATCCTTTTTTTATGGGGATATTTAAAAGACAAAGTGTATGTTAATAAACTAGAGACTAATAGACAGCTGAAGCAGAATATTCGAGACGAAATACCGAGCCTTCAACCAGAAACATTACGTGGTGTAATAAAAAACGCGTTAAAATAAAATTAAAATAAAATTTAAAAAAAAAAAAAAAAAAAAAAAAAAAAAAAAAAAAAAAACAATCTCTGTATCGAGAAAAATGGTGGACATTTATTATGATGTCATATTTCATACATAATTTCCATAAAATATATTTAATGTATAAAAAAATTAATCAGAATAAATGATTATTACAAGAGTTACTCGTGTTTAACATTAGTAGGTCTTACTTGGCCCACCCTATACGTACTCATCAAGTTAATAAAATATTCCATCAAAAGTGATATTTCCCTATGCTTTTTTCCTTGTTGCTCGACAAACATATCATTAATGTCATAAAATAAAAAAACATGCATGAACAATAACGAATTTGGCTCTCTCCGAAAGGATCGAAGTAGAAGAAGGCTGAAAAACATATTACAAAAAATTATTTGAAATTCCAGTTTCTCAGAATTTTATATGTTAATTTACACTAAATATAATTATAATATAATAAAATATTTTCGATATTAATTACTGAAAACGAATAACCGACAAAATTCTTTTGCTGGAGTTAACGTAATAATTAATATTAATTACGTTACTTAGACACAATTTGAAAACTCTGTGTATTTTCAAAAACCAAAAAGCGATGTTTTGAAATGCACTGCATTTATTACTATTATTAATAAAATTAAACAATGGTAGAGTTTTGCCAATTATTAATTTTCAAAGATGGCATATTATTCTTGCATATGTTAACTGAAATTGACAGAATTAATAATATTCAAGACATCTAAAGCTAACACATACTACTTAATAGAATTTTTTAAAATTCGACTTACTTCGAACTTAAAAACTTTGCCGTATGCAGGAACAACTTTGGAATATATTATGTCGTCTCCCTCTACTTTTTCTTTACGCCATCCATCGGATTCTATAATAGAAACAGCTTTCTGTAGTGCATCTTCCGCTAACCTGCGGTATTCCTGTTCCTGGAAAGATAATGAACGCTTTCCTAAATCACAGTTTGGCTGAAAAAACCACGAAAGAACCTGCTTTAACATTTTTTTCTGGGAACATACATTTTAAAATGCCGAACCTTTAATTTATATGGTTGATAAAATAGATTGTGAGTCAGATGAATGAACCCTGAACATGATGTCAACAAAAATTCAAGCAATCACAGAGTTGCATCAACCATAATCTTCACCCAGATAGACATCAATACATCTTTTATCTGTTGATGGTGCAGTACGGAAACAAAACCCAAAGTAATAATACACTACAAAAAGTTTCCATGCACTAAGAAACGAGTGCAGATGCACTCAGAAGTAGATATGACCTCCATTCATTGACATTACAAAATCGATCTGTTTACATTTTTTTAAATCAGTAACAGGCCTTCACGCACAAAACGAAAATCGGTTTCTCTTCTTAAAATTGACATATGAGGGAAAATGATAGAGTTTGATATTCAACATGTAATTAATTTTAAAAAGACCTGGAGGAGTTTCTTGTCGTGAATTTAAAAAAAAAAAAAAAAAAAAAAAAAAAAAAAGAATACATAACTGAAGGAAAAGTTATTTTGCTTTCATTAACAGAATATTATTATGCTCTTCTTAACCAAATAGAAATAGCTTCTAAACAATATGCTCATATAAATATTTTCTAGTTTTAGACACTTATTCGGAATCGTATGAATACTACTGCCTTTGAAAAGGGTTCATGAAGGTTTTTTTTAAACAACATGTCTCGTATTTTAAAGAATATGAGAAAATTTTTTAAAGCACACCGAAATTCTTTAGTGTATGTATTCTCTCAATAACAGTTTGAAATTAAAAATGCACCGGTAGATTCAATAGTGAGCAATTCGATAAAACCACTAAATACTGATAAGACAACCAAAGCTCGAAACCTGGTAATCGGGCTGCATGTCTGCTTTCAAGGTTTTCTCCATGTATAATACAAATGCGTGTTAATAAGTTTAATACTACGTTTCCGTCGAGAAGTGCTTCAGGAAGGCATGCCTCCTGTTAGGCAGATAGCAAGATGTCTTTGTCGCATTCAGACAGATGTTTAATGCTTTCTTCGCTGGTGTTATGAATGAGTTATGCGTATATATGTAAACACATACAATGTACATGCATACATACCTACACATTCAAATTTGGATTTAACGAATCGCCCACGACCGCTGACAAAATTCGCTAAATTGACATTATTTCTTAAATTGTTGACGTTAAATCTGCATAAAACTAATCAATATAAAGATTTCACAAAGTGAACAATTAAAGCTATTTTATATAAAAAATGTAGCGACAGAATTAAAGAAAAATATTTTATGTAACGAAATATTTTTAGAAGTGGAATCCGATATTAAATTCTGTGTTTGTTTCATATATTTCGCTTTTCAAATTCGTTATTATGCATTGAGAAACGGGACTTAATGTTTTTGTTTCATGCTTTTGTTACGTGTTATGCACTGAAATATTTCTATTTCAGGCTTCATTAGGAATTGCTTTGCAATCTGTTAACCAAGAAAAGCATCCGTGAACATAATTTATTGCATTTCGTCCACATATTCAACGTAGGACAGAGTATTTATTTCATAATTTTTAACAGTGGAAAGGATTTTAAGGAATAGACTCCTGCAAATATATAGCTGCAATGTGTACAGCCCAAATTAATTTTAATCGCGTATATTGTTTTCTAAAGCAGTGCCAAAGTCAAACTGGCGGCCCACAGGCCCTCGAAGTAATTTTTTGCTGTCTGTGAATACATTTCCCGTAAATTAATTAGCATTATCATGACAAGAATTTGAAGAAAATGTTTAAGATTTTAATGCTCTGGAGTCCAGTTGTACGTCATATTCATTATTAACAAAACGAACGTAACTCCTCGGAAAGCCTAGAAATACAGTTAATTAATTTACACTGTGATATAAATCTTGTCAAAGATTTTAAGATACAAATTTGGTTAACTTTTATTAGTTACTTGTCAAACGATAAATATCTTAAGCTACGAATTTTTGCAATAAGAATATTCGCTTTGTTTTTGAGTACATTTACATAAGAACAGGTTTTTTTTTCCATAGTTGAAAATTAATAAATTTATAGTAATATATTGAACTACTAAGTCTACTAAAATAATCAGACTGCCGATGAATATTTACAATTTGTGATGATTTTTTAGTAGTTTCCATCCAAGATAACAAACTTCATGAAAATCGAAAAGTCATGAGCTGGTGTAGTTTTGGTTTATTAGATTACGGCAAAGCACTCAAGGCTATCTGCCTTAATGAAGGGATGCCTTCGTGGAGGACTTTTTAAGGGCAACTGGCTCATATACACGTACACATGGGGAAAGCCACGAAAACACCCATGCAGCTGGCCCGTTCGCGGGATTCGAAACTCGGACCGAACTACCAGTGTTCAGCGACGTTACCGCTCGGCCACTGGTAGGCCCCATGAGCTGGTGTAGCTGAAAGGTGTAGTGAAAAGCAAAGATGTTTACAATAATTCATATACAAATATTATTTTTCTGTTTTGCGTTAGCGAAAATCCTAATAAATACAAGAAAGAGACTAAGTTGTTATTATTTATTCTCAAGTTTTGTCCCTCTTGAGAAGTTTTAGTACATTTCTTTTTAGTTTAAATTAAAAGTAAGTTACTTAGTAGTTCAATATATTACTATAAGTTGAATAAATACCAATCTGAAAATTTTAATATTTAGCTCTTAAATTTTAATATGAAGCTGTCTGCTTGAATTAAAAATTGTGACCAACAGAAATTTCTTGCAGATACCAACTTTTAAATTTCAGGCAAAATATAAGTATAAATTTGGTATTTTTCTTTGCGCTATTTTTATTACTATGTTTTTATAAATACATAGTAAAAAAAGGTTTTAATTTGATTATCAAATTTTGTTTTGTTAAAAAATTAAATCCCGCCTTTTTTTACTTCCTTGTAAAGTAAAGGAGGTATTGTAATCACGAAACATTTCGGGTACCATATTTCAACGAAAACATCCATTTTGACAGCTATTGAACGCAATTTAACGGCTTTAAAAAATGATTGAATTATGTTGTTCTTATTTTCCGGTTAAGGTTTTTAGGCCTTTAGTTAATCTGCATGCGATAATTGTAGAACTATCAACAATTTAAAAGTTGTTAAATGCAGCTAAATTTTTCTTACCCATAGTAGCCATATTTGTTTACATTTGAAACTTAGCAGAATAATGATGCACCTTAAGCGTCTTTTTGCCGAGTGGGACCAAAAGAAAACTTTTAGCTTTGTGCACCGAAAAATTAGCCTTTTTGCCCGCTGGCCAAACTGATTGTTTTTGAGCAGAAACTTTAATTGTAAAAATTTTTTTTTTTTTAATTGTTTTAACCCTATTTGGTGTTTTATGTTTTTCTACATCTTTCAATTTTTAATGAAGATATTTTGAATCTTTATGAATTTTTGCCTTGCCGCGAAGTGAGAACTGAGTTAATTGAATGAGAAATAGATCGCCAATGAAATTCGAGGAAATACGTGTTTTATACTAGCAGAGCAGAAACTATTGTCGCCAGTATGTCTCGGCCAGAGGAGAATGTTTACGTTTAATGTATTTAATTCTGGCACAGCACACTAAGGCTATCTGCTTAAGGGAGGGGTGCCTTCGTGGAGGACTTTCTAAGGGAAACTGACTCGTATACACGCTACACATGGGGAAAACCACGAAAGCGCCCATGCAGCCAGCCCGTTCGCGGGATTCGAACCTCGGACAGAACCACCAGTGATCAGCGACTTTACCGCTCGGCCGCTGGTGGGCCCCAAATGTTTACGAGTAGGGCATGTTCATTAGGTAAGCGGCGCTGAATCGTCAGCGAAAAACTGTTTCTTTTTTATTTGTTTAATTTCTTTTATACATCGTCTTAGATTTATTATAGTATTTGAAAGGGACATGTGGCAACGACTAGATAATTCTTCTAATTGATATAATTTTTTTTTTCATTCTGAGTTATAATATGAATGACATATAACGCTATTAAGTGAACCTAGCGCCAGAGTGTTGCTACGGTAAATAAATATAGTGAATTTTTAAGAGTGCATTTATTCTATTGTGGCTTATGCGCTATCGACGAAGCAGATTTAATTTAATTCAGTACGTTTAAATCAAACGCAGGAAAAAATGCTGATAATTTAATATTTCGTACAAGGAAGTCAAGTGGTGTACACATCAGATTTGTTTGGTTTTGTTTTGTTAATGCGGCCCATCAGCTACTTTCAAATTGTGCATTGGCCTATGTGCAATTTAAGTTTCAGACCATTGCTGTAAAGTATCGTTTATGCAATATGCCTTCTTGCGTTGTAGTAAAGTACCATAAAATTCGTAGAAATGAGAAAGATGGTGATATTGTATTTCATATTTTTTCATAGGACAAGTTGCTTTTGGCGAAAAAATTGGATGCGTATTTCGAAGACTGAAATAAAGCAAGAATTCGCAGCGAACATTTTCTATGTTCTATGCTTGTGAAGGTGACATGAAACATCTTTTACTTGGATTGCAGCAAAAGAAACTGTTAAAATCCAATACCGTGCAGAGAATAGAAAAATAATGCAGAGCGCTTTTGAAAGACTACACGAATTAAATTTGAAGAAAATTCATTTTGAGACCGATAACGAAAATGAAGATAGGAATAACAAATCAAATATGAATGATTTTAAAATAGAACTCACAAAATGAGGATGCAAATATTGCTAAATGTCCTACCTGTAAAAATAAACAAGAATGTATTGATTATTTGTAAATAACAAAGCTAGCTCAGCATTTTAAGTAATTTATAATCGTATAAAACGTCAAAATAATTTCGCATAAAAAAGAACTTCCTCCTTTGGCCCTCTTTTGAAGCATTAAGTAATTCTCTTTAGATACTGTCAGCAAAGTTGCTTTGCCAAACAGACAAACGATCTTGTGTTTATTTAAATGTAATGTAATGTATGTGTAT